AGGCTATTGGATCTTGCTCTTTGATGGGCATATGCACTAATCATTGGCTTAGCTGATTTCTGGTTATTTTTGACCTGATCTTTTAGGTGTGGCCGACTTGAGAAACTATTGGCTCTTCTTAAGGGGGATTTGGAAATGGGCAGTGATGTTGAGGAGGGATCAGCTGTCTTCACTTCAGCATTACTGGCTGATAGGGCATTCACACTTGTGTTTACTGAAACTTTGACTCCTGTGGCCAGTGTTGAAGTGAGTCCAGCGGGAGTAGTTGGTTTGGCCTTGGATGCGTTGAAGGTGGTTCCACCAAATGTATTCACAGATAGCGGGTCTTGGTTTTTAAACAGGACATCCTCTCCTCTACAGCTTGGACTTGTCATCCTGAATGTTTCAATTCCTTCCCCTGTCAGTTCATTACTGAGTACGCCTGCAGTGCCAAGCAAAGACCTAATGGGTGGTGTTGGGTCTATTAGCATGTCCATTTTAGCCGTGAAACTCCTTATGTCTCCACCTATCTCTCCTAGCCCAGAGTTCTTAAACCGTGCCGCTAGTTTGTATTCTTTTGTATTCCCAACCTCCCCTTTTCGTTCAGTGCTAGAGCCGATCAGTTTAGGGGGCACTGGAGTGTGTACTTCACTTTTTCTCTTAACCTGTTGCTCTCTCACCAAGGATTCAAGGGATGCTGATGGAGAACTGGAAGAGGATGGTGGCATTTCTGTCAAGTTCGGCATCACATCTTCCTCCCTCCCAAGCAGTAGCATTTGTTTGGCCTGAGATACCTCACTTTTCTCCCCAACTATATAAATGCTATCCTGGTCATAGCTAAGCAGAACATTAGGCAGTACTAACTGCACCTTTTTTAATGCTGAAGTCAGTCCGTCTGGCATGTAAAGAGCACTCTTTTGAATCTGGTCTTTTCTCAGACAACCCTCTAACTGTTGGTAAAGCTGCCTCAGCTCCTTATGGGCTTGATGCATGTTCTGTTTAACCCCTGACCCAGTCGGGAACTCTGACTGTAGGTACAGGGTGGTGACCCCCTCGGATGTAACATGAACCACTTGCACTCCATGAAGACACAGTATCTGCTTGTACTCCTTAATGCTCTGCAGGTACGCAAACGCATCAGCTTCCATGATGATTGAAAAATCTTCCAAATTAGCTTCATCTATCCTGCACTCTGCCCCCTCCTCCACTTTGCTTTTCTTAGTCCGGGTACTGCGTCCAGTGAGAGCTTCATTGTTATCTTGCAGTCCGTAGTGTCCTAAACCTGCCGTGGATATAGAGCTGACATCTCCTGGTGACTGCGATGCGAAGCTGGACCATTTCTTTACACTTGCAAGGTCTTCCGTCTTCTCAAGATTTTGAACTCTGTTTCCACTAAAATTAGGATATTCGGCTTTTGAAAGGTGATGATTAAATAACGTCTGCATATAAGGAAAGGCGCCTTGAAAATCAGAGTAGCTGCCTTGCAAGGTGCACGTGTCCTGTAATAAGCCACGTTGCGTACGTAGACCTGGAAACTCACTGCGCAGCACATTCAGAGTCTCTGCACCCCGAGGAAGCTGACTGCAATCCATAGTCACAGTCATATCGAGGATCACCTAAAGGAGTGCAAGAGCATCAGCTGCGTGACTGTCAAAACAAAATGAACACTACACTAGATACGATTGGGAAATGGAACTTGTATTTTTTTTTTATAAGTTATACGGTCAGCAAACCTTATTTAGACTCATAGACTCTTGTCTTGGGAGACTCAGGGAGAGTTCATATTTTATGCCATCCAGCTGTAAAATGTGAGGATGATGACGAAGTACGGTCTGGACCACTAAATAAAACCAGAAAGAGAAGATCAATCTCATTTGAGAGGCAAAAACTGGCTCAGCAGTTTGCACACTAACAAATAAGATGTTTGCACACACAGATGGAAGTTAATTTTTCATAATGGCTGGTCAATAAAAGTTTCAATTCTCATTTTCTCTCTGTCTCACCAAAGACATTGATTCTCACTTATCTGACTCTGCTGCAACACACACACACAAGCACTGTGAAAACTCACTCACTTTTAATCAGGCTTGACAGGACATAAAGAATACACGGGGTGGCACAATCTGGCCACCCCCCACACATACACTTTATCAGCAAACTGACTACACTACTAAAATGTTGCCTTGGCCTTGGCAGACCAATCGGCTAGCAAGAGCCAGAGACTTCATTAGGTATATGCCAGCCATCTGGCTGACAATCAGTGCATTTTGGATTTTTTCCAACTACCAGCTACTTTGGCAATGACATTTAAATGCATTGAAATTCAATGTATGCACCAGAAATGGAGTAAGATGTGTCAACATTTTATTCTAAAAAGTAAAAGTACCAAAAGTAAATGGCAATGCAAACATATCCATGTACTAAAATATATACAGTATCATACAATGTTGGAAAATTTCAGTGTATAAAACCATGTAAAGTTTTTTGCTTATGAATAGCCATGAATTATGAATTTATGCATTTAAATTAGGGTAATGTGTGCCAGATACAAATATATATATTTTTTTATGACAGTAATCCTGCATGTTGTGGATTACTCTATTGCTTAAACAAATCAGCTGTTCAGTTCAATAATTTATGTTTTTATGGTTCTGAAAAGAAAGAAAGAAAGATAGTTTTATTACATTATAATACTGAATATTAAACTTTTTGGACATTCAACTTTATTCAGCATTTGTTCTGCAACAACAACTATTTGTGTAAATACACACACACAATATATAT